TCTACACAATAGATTAATTATTTAAGACAAAAAATAACAAATTTCACACACAAAAAAGGGAAGAAGAGTAAAAAATAAAGTGATGGATTATCGATGTTAAGCTTCAAACCTCAAATTGAAATTTTAATTTGGCTATCATCAAATAAGAAAAAGAAAAAATCACTACATCAAAAATGATCTTTAGCGGCAATTAATTAACGACAATAGCTCAATTGCTGCTAAATATGTATTATTAGCGGCAATTAACACTCTTTGTATATGTCCCTAATGTCACGCCCCAAACTCGAGGGACGCAACTGGCTCCTAATGCCAAAACTCAGGCCCGAGCCGACCCTGCTGCTCCATTTGCTACTAGCGCATGGCAGCCACACGCAATCAAGAAATCAAATAAGTATATCTCGGCTTAAAGCTAAGCCCTTGGCCGGCAAGGCCCCTGTCAACAGATCTACAAAAGAAACAGCTACTCCCAAGAGTTTATATAAAGAAATTGTCAGCTAGTACAGAAGTCCTGATTGGGCCGTCAAGGCCACCATGATCTCTATACCAAAACTAAAAACATGTATATAACCAGTCAATGCATCACACAACTAACAAGCTTCAGCAAACCAACAAACTAGGCCAGCATGGCCATAACGTAGTTGTAAACCCCACACACTAGTCTGCAAGCCTCTAAGAGAATTAACGATTGGCGGGACAGGGCCCCAGCCTACCCATAAAAATATGTACAACAAAATCTAACAAACCTCCAAACACTGGCAGCTCCGGAGGAAAGGGGCTAGCCAACCGGATATAAGTCAATCCTGCTGCTGAGGAGGTCTACTCAGTCGTCTGTCAGGACCTGCATGCGTGAATGCAGCGCCCCCAGGCAATGGGGCGTCAGTACAAAATAATGTACAGAGTATGAAAGGCAATAGGCTATGATCAAGTATCCTAATATACTGGAATAATCCGATAAATAAATCAAGGATAAGATAACTGTACTGACCTGCTCCTAAATCCAAACGCATCAAAAATAATAAAACAACAACCTAGCCAAGCCCCCATAAGCTCGGCAG